TCTCTCTCTCTCTCTCTCTCTCTCTCTCTCTCTCTCTCTGTGTGTGTGTGTGTGTGTGTGTGTGTGTGTGTGTGTGTATGTGTGTGTGTGTGTATCAATCAAGCATATACAAATTACGGGCTGCGCACCCGTCACGGTGCCCTCACGGTAAGTCAATGGACCACGTCACTTCACTTGAAACTCGAGCGTGCACTGAGTTCTAATCGTGATTGAAAAATACCTGAGTCACGTTTGGTTCCGCTCAACCCTCGAGTCCGCCTTTGAAATGAGCGAGAATCGTGTTGCAGCAGCTCGCCAAAGGTTCAGCCAGGACAAACGCGGTAGAAAAAGGAAAAGAAAAAGAAAACATGGTTCTACACGTACCTGCAGCGCCCTTTTCAAGTGCAGTTCAAGTGTGCCCAAAGAAGTGACTTGAAAAATGGGTAGGTTTGCGTGGGCTGCACTTGAGCCGCCCTTAAGCTTTTCCTGCCATTTTGCTAAACCCGAAAGTGAAACTCAAGGGCATCGTAGAACAATGTTGGGCAAGAAATCCGAAACCCTTGAGTTTCGAGTGGTGTGGAACGAGGCCTGGCGCTGTAGAAAAACGAGAATAAACGATAAAAAAACTATCAGGAGTTTTACATACACCTGCAACGCCATTTTCAAGTGTCTCTCAAATGTGCCCAGAGAGGTGACTTGAAAAACGGGTAGGAGGCTCGTTCCACTACCCTTGGCGGTGTTGTTCCACTACACCCTTGAGATTCACTAATCACGATTGATAAGTGATTAAGATTCACTCACTAATCACGGTTGAAAAGTGATTAACGTTCCCACCGTAATAAAATCTCGCTCAAAAACTTAACGGTCGTTGTAGGGCGCCCAGGCAAACCGGGCCAATTTTCGAGCCACCTCCCAGCGGTGACTCGAATTTCCTTAAAAGTGTTTGTTTTTTTTTGTTCCTTGACAACAGTTGTCCTGGGCCAATGATGGACCTGCATGGTGGTAGTGGGGCCCACACATGTTCCCAATTGTTTTTTCAAGCACGAACTGTAGGGTGTAGTGAAATGACAACGACTTGCAGGATTTTTTAATGACATTCAGGCTCAATGGTGCGTCTAGGGCCGCCCTTTATATTTTTCTCAAGTAGAGGGTTGTGGAACGCGGCTCTAGGTTTGCCTGGGCCGCACTGTAGCCACCCTTGAGCTTTTACCGCCCATTTGCAAAATCTAAAAACCTAATCACGGTTGGGCCGTGATACTCAACGGCACCGTGGAACGGTGTTGGGCAAGAAATCCTTGAGTTTCGAGTGGTGTGGAACGAGGCCCATACCACCCGGCAACTTTCCCCCAAAGGCCCCAAGGCAACCTACCACGCACAAACTCTCGCCACCAGCCCAGAAGAATCCCTTCGGCCTATGCTGCCTCTTTAGGTCTCCCTCCACCGCTCTTGAATCTAAAAAAGGAACAAAGGTCTCGCTCCACCACTCCCCATATGCATAAAAGAAAAATATGGCGGTTTATCTTCCCATGTTCTACTAGAACATTCATTCTGATTTTGTATATTTGGTGAGTAGACAGTTGTCAGGCATGGGAAATCCTTGAAAACCCCTACCTCTCTCCCTCACTCGGTAGAAGGGTCTGATCATGCTCCCCTTTCCCCCCCCCCCAAAAAAACGAACAGTCAAATCCCACAATACTTAGTAAGGGTACTTTCAGTTGGAAATGGGGATCCCATAAGGTACCGCCGCTACCGATTGTGGAAAAAAAAGTCGTGTGTATGTCGCCACAGCTGCAGCCGGCGCCACGTCGCTCCAACAATTTTCCAAAAGTGTGTGGACCCCTATCCCTCCCCCTGAAAGTCCATTGATTTTTGGATTTTTTTTTTTTTTTTCCTTGTCCGCTACGATCCTGAAATTTTCCGTGGTCCAACACATTGTGTGACACGGGGCCG